GACCCTTTCACAGGGGTCGCCTAAGACCATCGGAAAACACATATATAATTACATATTGTTTTTGTGATTAATCACTATGCTTTAATTATGTCCAATTTGTAACAATGAAATTGGGGGTCACCACAACATGAGGAACTGTATTAAAGGGTCGCAGCATTAGGAAGGTTGAGAACCACTGATCTAGGTCCTCTCATCAGAGCCCCCACCTCCACGCATGATCGAAGGGAAAACAGCTGTGGCAGGAAACCCCTGCAGTGGTCACAGAAGTCAACAACAACAAGGACAGGCGAAAACCAGATCAATCCAAGATGGAGGAAAAACTGACCAGAGACTGACCCCAAAGCTCATTATACCATCATTATAATGAAAACTGACACCACACATGGAAGGAAGTTCAAGGGATGCAAATGCCTACACTCCTGGAACAGACCATATTAGGGACAAGACCCTTCCCAACTAGAAAGCAGTCAGAGTTGGGCACCATAAAATTCAGAAACCAATCACCCTTGGAAACACATAAAACCCCAAGAACTGACTGACCCCACAAGCAACTCACCAGATCACTCACATCCCCTCGGATGTATACTTTTACTTTCACAGTGGTGCCCTGTGAGATTTGTAACCAGGGGGACAGCAGGTGACTCAACCTCTGATCCTGTCCCCAGGAACCTGAGTCCCAGCCTGTTTTTCTTTACCTGAATAAAACTTGCTTTCACTCTCACGCACACTTGTTCTTGAATTCTTTCCTGTTTGAGTCAAGAGCCTGGAGGTCCTGGACTGTGCTGGGGCAGGGCCAGCCCCAGCATGAAGTTATGGGATATCATGGAGAAGAGTAAACTTAAGGACTTTAACTCTTCTGGGGAAGAACTTAGTGCATTTTTGTTGGACACAGCATATTTGTCTTATGATAGGCAGAATTATGACCATGTTATTTGATGAAGTCTGGTTTAAGTAAGATGTGGATGGGTACCAAGTTGACAACAGGCAGACTTGTGATGGTTAATTTTCTGTCAACTTGAGTGAGCCATGGGTGTTTAGGTTAACATTATTTCTGGGAGTGGCTGTGAGAATGTTACCAGATAAAACCAGCGGTCAATAGAGTGCCTGCCCCAGTGTGGGTGGGCATCATCCAACCTGTGGAACAAAAAGTAGAGGAAGGAGGAATTGGCACCATTTCCTGCCTCGCTGATTGAGCTGGGACATTGCATCTCATCTAATCTTCTCTGCTCCTCAGACTGGGATTTACAGCATCAGCTACTCTGGTTCTCAGGCCTTCAGACTCCAGCTAAATTATACCACAAGCTTCCCTGGTTCTCTAGCTCGCAGATGGTATATTGGAGGCAGAAAAGTCCCACATAGCTATGTAAGTAAATTTCTCATAAATTTCCATATATATACATACATTCCCTCCCCTCACCCCCACTTACATATCATATTTGTTTTGTTTCTCTGGAGTACCTTAACACACTAGATTTCTCTCCCGAACATTCTCATTATATCATTCTTGATGCATTCAAGAAAAAAAGTGTTATTTTTAATGAGCACCCCAAGTGATTCTCATGATGAAGAAAGTTGCAAAGCTCTGACTTTGCAAAAGATTTATCCTGTCTCTACCCATAGTTGGTTCTGATCAAGGTCAAAGAACTTTTCTAAAACTCAGTCCTTCAGAAGAGAAATATGGGGACTGTAGAAGAATCCAATCACTAGATATTCTCTAAGAAATTTCCACTGTGAACATCATCTTCCCGAAATAAAAACATTTGAAAAAATTGATCTATGAAGACAAACCCATATGTGGTAACTGAATTTTCACAAATGTGATCGTTAGAAAAAGCTTGTTTTAATATTTATTCAGCAATGTTGTACTTCCAATTAGTTATCCCACTGTACCATGAAAGAATTGTCAAAAAATTAACTTTACAAAGTAAAGGAAAAGAAGGAAAAAATTTTGTCAATATCAGTGAGTTTAGAAAGTAAGATTTAAAGTAATTTTGAACTAGATGTTTGTCATAATCCTTTACTTACTCAGAGTCTAATTGAACAATGTCACGGCAGAAAGATAACAATCAGGAGAAACTGTTAAGAGATTCTTGGCTGTAACTGCATTAGCTTGCAGCCGCCAGATGCTGAAGTCTAATTAAAAAATTAGTGAAAAATAAGCCTTATTTGGGGAGTGTTGGGCACGTAAATAAACGACACTAGAAGGAAGCGGAGGCTGGTTTAGGACACACTGACCTGGGGAAAACCATTAGCTGCCTTATAGACCTATTTTCTATCACATCATTGGCTTGTGAAACCATTTATGACTCATTAAAATAAAGGACGAGAATAAAGAAGCTCTATGAATTCCGCTCCCCACTGCTTTATCCTCAGACCCGCCAGCATTTAGTATCACATGGAGAGCTAAACGTTCCATGTGGCGAACAGACAGATTGTCTGGGAATGGGCTGCTTGGAACTGAGGTAGCTGGTCAGCAATAAGCTTTGCCAGCTCATGTGCAAGAGTTCTTCATTCACAGCATGCCTTCATCTGGTCCTCAATAAGTCTTCCTCCTCACCCTCCCTTATGTTGCACATCTCCAGCTGATGTATGACTTCAAAGCTGCCCTTCAGTCTAGCCAGATTTTACCTATGAAAGAATGTGAAACCGGATCCGAGAGTCTCAGACAGCAGTCATTTTTCCTGTTGACTGACCTGCTCTGGCCAAAGTGACAACAGAGCGTAGTCTATTTTGAAACCTGGCTGCGTTCCAACTAGAACATCCAACTGCTGTCTGAATGGGAGTGGTTTCTTGGGTGCATAACACCAAACTCAGAGGAGTTAATTTTATTGATTGGTCCTAAGTACTAAAATGTAAAAAAACAAAAACAAAACCTCCATTTGAACCACAGAAGAAAAGCAAGCTCTGTTCTAAACCTAGTGAACAAGTCTGCATTTTAACAAGAGCTCCAAGTGGTGTGAATGCACATGAAAGTTTAAGAACCACAGCGTTAGGATAAAAGTCCAACTCCTTCCGCGGCTCACAGGCCCTTCATGAAGCAGCCTCACTTACGTTTCCTGCTTCTCCCAACAATCCCCATCCGTCCAACCTATAAAGATGCTCTGAGGGCTCTTCCAACTAGATTTTCAGACGTCTGTGCTTTTCCTGAATCCTCTTTCCCACACCACACCCAGCTGTTCACAGTGTTATGCTTTTTTTGTTCTCTGTCAAGGATAGTTCTTTTCCCCTCTCTTGTTCCTTTCATCTATAAATAATTTCTACTTCTTAATACAGAGGAAGATTTTACACTCCAAGTAATGACATTTGCATTTTTAAAATGCTGTTATTCTCTATATAGCTGCTATGTAGATACTAGGAGATCAGTGTCAGTAAACCAAGTAGGTAATTATAGAAGCCTGGACAGAGATTGTGCAGGGAAAGTGGGGAGGATAGAATACATTTGAATGACATTAAAGAGGCAAGGTTGATGAAACGGGTTATGAACTGAACTGTAACCTCATTGGCTGAAATTTTAACACCTTAATATCTCATTATATCCAACCCATCGCTGAAGAAATGATAAAAATAGAGTATTATCTTCGTTGGCCAGTGCTCAACAAGGAGGACATGTTCAGTTAGAGCATGAAGACTGTGAAGCCCAAAAAGCCAGGCGAGTTCTAGTGCAGCATCTCTTAGGCACTCTTGTAGCTGGAGATGCATTCAGGCCTGAAGGCCCAGCTAAGGGAGCTGAATATAACAGCGGCAAAGGAAATTGAAGTTAATGGGGATCAGAAAGCTATTATGACCTTTGTTCTCATTCCTCAACCAAAATCTTTCTTAAAAAAACCAAGTCTGGTAAGTACTTGGAAAAAGGTTCAGTGGGAAGCACATTGTCTCTAATGCTCAGAGAAGAA